GCAGTTTCGGGCGGGGAAACCACGACACATCGACAGCTGGAGGGCTGATAGTCACATACACCCTCAATGTGTGTGAGCGTACCATGTGTCTTTAAGAGCTACAACTGTGGGATATGCCTTCGAAGTAAATTTCTGTGGAATAAGTTCTTCTATGTGCTAAGTTATTATTCACTCACCATGAAATCCCCTAATAATTATTTTAGCTTCTTGCACCTCCAGAGGAACGGGATGAAATGTTGCGTGAGGAACTGGAGCAACTCAAGCAGAAAAAGCTGACGGATAAGTCGGACACATAATTTCATGCATAGTGATCTTCGTCAGCGCGTAATGTACGTAGTAATGTTAGTTGTTATGTTAGCACCAGACTGAACGAAAGGTCCTGCGACACGTTGGACCCAATTTCGAACTAAATTTCTTTTTAGTCAGGACCTCCAGTCTACAAGGTAATTAAAAGATAAAAGGATAAATTCATCGTCGTTGAACAATCCCTTTTTGGAATAAGGCATGCATTTTACTTCCACTCAGAATCGTAGAATCGTAGTGGATCACTGAATGCGATGTGGCCTATGCAGGGTGGGGCGGGGGTGCAGCCGATGTACAAGTCAGTGTTTTATCCTCCCAGACGAATCTGGTACCAATTTGCCGTCCCCGGAGGTTAGACGGCTAGATTGGCCTGGGTGGGCCATTTCGGGATTTGACCCGCGGGCTGCGCGCGTAGTAAGCGTGCCACTTGCCACTACACCACCTACGCTTTACTACAAGGTAATTAGCCTCGATCAATAAGACGAGTGCCTATCTTTCGAGCAGCTTTTCGACTCCACTTCTAGAACTAAGACGACTGCAACGGGAGAAGTGGTCGATCTCGTTATCGGGAAGACGTCGGTTATTGAATTTTCTTATCCTAAGAGTTATATTAGGGACCTAAGCAGGTGGTTAGAGGCAGGGGCTCCTGGATCTGGCTCTAACCACTTGCTCACTTGAGTTAGTCCGATAGCAGGGCGCAGCCATACCTCATAGCAGATGAACATTTGTTCGGATGTCATCTTCACCACATGCGATTTCGGCACTGTCATGAAGTAAAAAAGAGCTGGACCATTCTGGATTATTTCAAGATGTCGGCCTCCTTTTGAAGTTCATTAGAACAGAATGCGGCCATCATCACTGTACCAGTTTCCAGCGGCATCGCTTTGAAGTTCCACAAATAACACAGTGAAACCTTTTTGCCATGTATATCCGGTTTTTACCCTGCAAGCGGCTTTTCTCTTCGAAAGAGCCGTGGAGGTTATGTGCATGGTCGCGTTCAGCTGTCATCACCACCCACAGTATCTGTCTAGAAGTCCTTCCTATGTGTGGAGAAATTCACCCGCTATCACTCGGTTCACCTTGTGAGACTGGCGCATCTCATGTAGTGCTCATTGCGAGAAGTTTTCCCGATAACCGAAGCTGCGAAGAAACCTGGTGGTGATCTTATGGGTACAGCTCAGAGATATGGCCAACCTGCTGGTGGTAGGGCACGTCTTGTTGCTGAGAAAGATTCTGAAGAATATGACTTCCCCTGGTTCCTCTGCTGGCACGCGGCCCTCCACCCCACCCCTAAATTCCTGCTCTGAGACAATCCCCTCCCCGTCTACCAACCACCTTCCTAAGTTTCCCCAATTCCCAACTTCCTACAACTTTTCCAAAAATTTTCTAGTTGTCCCCAAAAACCACTGTCGAGGAGGGAGGGGAGTAGGGGCGGGGCGAGGAGGCATATAGCACATGTGAATCGGGAAAAAACCGAGAAAGGTCAACAACCGGAAAAAAATATCTGACAGCAGACACGACCCCCCCCCCCCTCCTTCAAAAAACGACGATCAAATCACGATCGCCTCTCTTCCCCTTATACGGAACAATATTGTGGATAACGCGCGGAAATGGGAAAAATCAGCTATCAAACAAGATTTTCTCAGGGCAATTAAGATGCCCATCCCTCCAGCGACCAAACGCGATCCCTTCGCTGGGAATCCCACAGCGTGCGACGTGCCCTGACTGATGGCTATTTTGAGCTGCGCCTCGTGAAGTTGAACAAGCGGTTATCAATTCATTCCGTTGGCCCATACGATGCCCCTCCGAAAAAATACCTTCAGCTTTTAAGCGTTTGACACCAATGACACACTGTGAAAGTTTATGCGACATTCCTTGAAAATAGCGCAGTATTATCTCCCTCAACTCCTGCAGAATGGCCCTGCAGGAACTCATCCTGCAGAAGAGCTCAGAAAGTACGTTGACCCTTGGGGAATTCTAGTTGTAAGTTCTGAAAACTTCCAAAAAGCTGCAACGCACCAATCTGCAAGAGTTTCAGAAAACACCATTCAGTAGTCAAGTAAAAACATTGTGAATGTATTTTGACTTTTTTTCCAGAACAATTTGTCCAAAGTGACGTGCGACTTTTCGTCCAACCTAATATTTTGTAATGAACTCTAGGATAACTGAAACTATGAGCAGTTGCACTACAAGGTCTATTCACCTCATGTCTGCTCAATCTTTTGCTCAAAACTGATTTTGGCGGCATGATTTCCTACATGGTTTTGCGATTTGGTCGCAGGTGAAATATTCATAATGTAGTCGTTCAAAGGGACGGTCTATGAAGATCCTATGGGCGGAGTCAGGCCTACAATTTTGCCGTTCTTAGAGCGCCCCATCCCTTTCAGGACAAGTCGTAAGTTGAGGATTCAAAGCGAGGGAGTCGTGTTTGCTGTCGTAGAAATATAAGTTTTCGGTTGTTGACGTTTCTCGAATTTCCCATTTCAGTGTGCTCACCCCCCCCCCCCGCCACCATCCACCTCGCTCTGTCGCATATGTGGTAGGAAGTTGGGAGAATTTGGGAAGATGTTGGTTAGCAGAATGGGCGAT